TTCTCTTGGCTACAGGATAAGAAAACTGAGCAGGAGTAAATCAGTCATGTTACAGAGCATCTCAAGCCTTCATACATAGCCTTTGGCTCATATCTCTCCTGGACTTGCACTGCAGTGTGGTTTTGCAGATGCAAAAGCATGTATCAAAAAATGAAAAGGAGGTGGATGACCTATATATCCTTACAATAATGTGCTTCCTCTACATAGGAGAGAAAGAATTTGGTAGAAGGTTGTATTTCATTCATCTGGAATAAACTGCTAGAGAGCATGCACACATTATTACTCATAAGAGATTACATTGTTTACATTTACACCAGAAAGATTGGTCCTGTTAGAAATCATGTCTTCCTAAATGCTTTATATACTTTCTAGTACATTCCCAGTGTACTAATAATATATCGACAGCAACAATAACAGAACTGATGAAAGTTAAATATTAAGTGATATTTCTTATAGCACATAAAGTTATCCTTTATGAAAGGTAATAGTTTTTCTCTCTAATAGGATCTTAGATTGTTAAATAATCAACGTAATGCTTAAACTAACATAATAATTCATTTAAAAACATGTACTTAATATATATCTATTTTAGAAGTGTTTGAAGGTAGTTAATAGTCATCTCAAATAAAATTTATACCTTTTCAGGAAGAGAGAAAAATTGTAATTGAAACTTTGGAACTTTATACTATTTATAAATTAAAAAAATAACTTGCCCATCTTACAACATAGATCTACAACAAAAGTGGGTTAAACACAATTTTCCCCTCTCTTGTTAGTTTTCTTTCTATGATCTAAAATAGTTTTCTCAAAAAGGAAACAAAACTAAATCAAATCTAGCAAAAGTTACTTTGGCCAATAATGCTTAAAATATACTGTTACTATCTTATCTCTTTTGGACCCTTCATAGTAGAAAGTTGTTCACTTACAAAGGAGGGAATTAAATTATTTAAGATGAATAGATAACCTCTTCTTGCATGAAAACAGATGATGAAACCCATAGTGACTCTTTTAGTGAATTATCTTCAGCTCTTTGTAGGAATACTGCATTTTTTGTTTTCTGACTTTTTTGGTAACAATCAGAATTATACAGCTTCAGACTTCAGAGACCATCCAGTTCAACCACCCCATTTTACTGGAAAGAAGTGGAGAGCCTAAGCCATTTGTCAAATATAACTTTATATTTTCACCTAAGCCAGTTTACATACTTTGCTTTGCCTTAACCAGCACAGACAATTAATTTAGCCAATCAGAATGTTTCTGGTGATTGGAGAACTCCAAGGGGTTCTTCCTGACAATACCATAAATTGAGCAGCTCAGTAGAGATTATAATTCAGTGCACTTTTTTATTTAGTTGAGAAAGTCTGTAAAAATGGTTTATACAGAATGAGTGGCTCCTGGAATCATTTCAGTACAGAGCTTTGCAAAAATGAATGACTTAAAACATGATGGTCTGATCCCTAACTGCCAGATCTCATGAAACCAAACACCAACCAAGCACCAGTTTTTTTGCTGTTGTTTACGCATGTAAGTATCTGATGAGTTGGGCTAAAGTATTGTCATATACAACTGGGTGGTAGAATAGAGTCATTCAAAAAATCCATTTGTCTGTCCCATTAAAAACCACAAAAGAAAAAAGGACAATATTAATTAGTAGCAAGGCTTCCTTGGTTGGTAGAATTTGGGGAGGTGGGGGAATAGTCCTAATTGGTACTTTTTAGAAAAACCTAAACTTAAAAGATCAATTTTTTTTTATTTTTAATTGAAGTATAGTTGACATATAATATTAGTTTCAGGTGTATAACATAGTGATTTAATATGGCATACATTAGAAAATGTTCACCATAAGTGTAGTTACTGTCACCATACAAATTATCACAATATGATTGACTGCATTTCCTACGTTGTACTTTTCATACCTGTGACTTACTTATTTTACAACAGGAACTCTGTACCTCTTAATCCTCTTCATTGATTTCATCTGATTTTGTAAAATAGTATTTAAAACGAGACTCTTTGTAAACTTAAAATAATATATGATTAGGCTAAATTCTTGTTTTCTTTTTTTACTATAGCGATATTTTTTTTTTTCCAAAAGCAGTTTTACACCAAAATGTTTTACAACAGAAGCTTCATGTGCTCCTTCTATTGGGTGGAAAGGAAGCTCCTCCACCCCGGGGGGCCTCTGCTGAGTGCCCACAGAGGGAAGCTTTTGTCACTAGGCGGCGCTTCTGCAACAGAAGCTCACCCCTCCTTCAGGGGAAGCGGAAAAAGGAAAAAAAAATCCTACTTTATCTGCCTAAGAACTGTTTGATAAGAATTTTCCCTTTTCTTTTTTTTTTTTTTTTGAGGATATCTTAACAGAAACATTCACATCTTAGTCATATTGTCTGCCAAAAGAAGTGCTCACTGAGAAATATAACCATTTCCTTTTAAAGAGAGCAGAGTATAAACATCCCCCCAAAAGGTGTGTGGGGGGTGGGATTTAGATTTAGATTTAGATTTAGATTAGTTTAGTATCTTCTGTCTCTATTCTATTTACCCCAGCCTCACTTTGACAAACCCTTTGTTTTCCTGAGGAAACAGAATTAGTGAAGGGAGACAGAGACAGAGACAGAGAGAGACACAGAGACAGAGAGACACAGAGAAACACAGAGACAGAGAGACAGCAGAAAGAGAGAGAAACAGAGACAGAGACACAGAGCAGAGGCAGAGCAGAGACAGAGAGACTGAGACAGAGCCTGAGACAGAGAGACA